TGAACACACCACACTGGGGAAAGGGCGGCGGTGGGGTCTGTTGTGTGCCTGAGCTTGCCTTGGGCCTCACACAGCTCGTGGTCCCTGAAAGAAGAGTAAGAACTGGCTATGGAGCACTGTGGGGACAAAGCCCTGGGGCTCTGGAGACCCGCAGAGAGGCTGACACGGATTGTCTTCCAGAAGCTTAACTAAGGAAAAGCAGGCAAAGGAACTTCCAACCACAAAATGCACTCAGCAGACACCTTTTCACATGTGGTGTGAAACTCTCCCACTCGTAGGGTCCCTGTGCCAGGCCACCAGGTGTGATATCTGTGATGCTTCAGGCCCCTGTCTCTCCATCCCTGGGCAGAGCCAGCACCTCACCTGGCGCATTGGGAGCACTGACTCAGTGGCACACCATCAGCAGCTTTCCCAGGGAAGAGGCCTGAGGCACTGGCATGCAGTCTTCCTGTGTGATCAGGTGGTTTATGTACAAAATCTTATAGTCAGCCTCTCTTCGATGAGGGAGGTAAGCCTAAGTACTTACGGAAAACAGGAAATGGCTAGAGAATTATGAGGGGAAAAAGAGGCACTGCATGATCCTACAAAAGAACAGACACTGTAGAAAATCTGAGATGAGCGAACTGTACATGGGGCCTATAAAACCTTGATGTTGTAGGCCACCCGGGTTTGCTTCAGGTCTGAGACCCTCATTGTTGCTGTCATAGCAATATGTACAGATTTATTCCAGTAGAGACTATAAGGAAATCATAGCTCAACCCTAATGGAAAAAAAGCACAAATGACAATAGCAGGTAAATCATAGAAGAAAAGCAAATGTCCCTGAAGAGGGAAAATATCAGCATGATATCAGGTACCCAGTGTCATAAGCAACACCGTCAGTTTTGTGGCAAGTGACAATATCATTGGAAACGTAGGTGGAACAGTGATAATAATACCTGACATTTGTTTCTGTTGACTCCCAGTTTTTTTTAAAAAAATCTATAAATGAATTAATAATTGTTTTCTTGTAATCTTCAAAGTCTATAAGGTATGTATTATTATTCTCTATTTAGGGATGAGGAGCCAGATTAAGTGACGGAAAGATTAAGTAACCTGTTAAAAGTTACACAGCTAAGAAGTGGGTTGCTGAATGTGAATTCAGGCAAATTTCTCATAGGACCCTGAAATATACGAAAGTTTTTGCCCTTGAAACCTCACTATTGTAATATAAAGTAAAAAGGTAGTTGCTTCTGAAGTACAAGCATGTTCTATGAAGATGTCCCCAGACTGGTACTATATCTCTGCTGTAGGATAAGGATAATGCTGAGATTTCCAAGGACCTTAAAACATACTTGCGGGTTAGGAGCGGAGGCCCCTTCTTCAGCCTCCATGGTGGGAAATAATCCAATCCACATCATCTCTACTCTGTGTCTAAGTGCCCACTTGAAGAGCCATCCCATTCTTCTTCAGGAGCCACTATGATGACTAAGCCACTGAAACAGATTCTTTTTTCTGATGACACATGCTGCCTAGGACTGAATTCAATTCAGCCAGCTATTGAGTCTGGGCCTAGAGGGGGGATTACGTCACAATCTTTCAAAACTGGACTAAAAGGGGCCGTGTCTATTAACTTAGAGGCCTGAGTCCTGCTCCGTCTGGGATGCCTGGCCCTGTGGGCCATGGGACGTCCCTGCTTCTTGCTTGGCTGCCACTGAGCCCATGATATCAACCCCCCTGGGTAGAGAGGGGGAGCAGGCCAGCCCTGGGAGTGTCTCAATTCCCTTCCCACACAAGCCTCTGCTCAATTATGTCATAATTACTCAGGGGCTACATAAGGCAGACGGTGCTGATTAAGGCAATGAACAGAAAAAAAGAGCAAGGGCCGGCCATTCACTACACCAAGGCTGTTATTTTAAAGCAGGCCCTGAGGTCCTCTCTGACTCTGACATCCTGTAATCAGCATCCTAAGAAACATTTAGACAGTGGTACACATGTTAGTTGATGACATTTCTTGTTCCTATAAATAGCGAGGGTCAGGGGTAAAGAGAACAATGAAGCATGTTGTCACTAACTGAATTGGTTTGAATTCTACTCATTGCTATATTTAGCCATGTCCCAACTACATTATTGACCTTTTTCTCAGCTTCTGGGGAGAGAGAGAATCTGACAGCTCATTCCCTCCTAAAAGCTTACCACTGCTTCGCCCCACCTGAGATGCAATCCAGTTTTTCTTTCATCATGGTAAAGAAAGTTCTCCACTATCTGGCCCCTACAGCCTTTAAGGTTATCTTTTATTATGACTTTTACTGCTTTTATGTTTTCCACATTTTTATTAGTGCACATTGTACAGGTTAATGGGTTTCTTTCTGGCAGATTTGTACACGCATGTAACGTACTTTACTTATCTCCCCCATCATGTGCTCATCCCAACTACCCCTTAGATTTTTGCCAAGAGTGGGTCTCAATGAGCATAATTTATTTTGACCATATTCCTGCCTCCTATTACCTGCCTTTACATCTCCTCTTCTTCCCTCTTCTTCAAGTTAATAGTATTTGTATTGATCTGGGCAAAAGGATGCACCATACCTCTTGGCACCCCTCATCTTTGCCCCCAGCTAGATCTCTGCAAACAGTATTAACGCACCCTACTTCTCTGGGTCTTGATGGGCCGGGCTGTGCCCTGGTCCTTGTATCACAGCCGCTCTCACCTCTTTACCCTTGCTTGGATGAGTCTTCAGGCTTCTAGCCTAGTCAAGATTTTACTTCCTCCTGGAAGCCCTCCTTCCTAGGCTGGAGCAGAGGGGCACCACTCCTGCATATTACCAGAGAAGCCCACAAGTGCCGGGCACAGGGCAGCCCTGGGATCCACTTCCACTGCCCTTTCACCCACAGTCAGTCCTGGAGAGCAAGGAATCCATGACCTTCATCACTGTATTCCCAGTGCACTGCCACGTTGTCTGGCACACAGCAGATAGTTGACAAATATTGTGGCTGAATGTTCCTCAGTCCCATATGATATTTGATATGTTTTACTGTTTAGAATATAGTTACCCATTTCTGTTCTATACTTTCTGCCACATACTGACAACAAGCAAATGACTCATAGTTTCTCCCACTCCAAGCTGATACCCACTCCTGCCACCCTGAAGTCAGGACTCCCCTGTTCCTCCAAGTCTGCAGTACACACCCTGAGCCAAGCTTCAATCACATGGAAGAACTTGTGACTCTGAGGAATTCACTTTTACTCAATAAGGATGAGTCAGTGGAGGTTTGTGCAGGGCCAGGAAGTGGGGTGTGCGATTAGAGCTCTAGGGCAAGATGAGTGCTTCTGTGAACCACAGCATGGACTGTCAGGAGGAAAAGCTTGAGAAGAACCATGGAAATCACCCATGGGAACGAGGCTACTGGGGATCGGAACAGACAGGAGGGGCCACATTTCAACTGGGAGGTAGGACCTGGTAAGAGACTAGATGTAGGGACAAAAGAGAGAAGTTACAAACTCCTAAGTCTGGAAATTGGGAAGCCAGGTGACTCCATTAACAGAAACTTGGATCTCTAGAGGGGTTGTACTGTTGCTGCCAGCTCTATACCATGACCGTGTCAGTATGAGGGAGAGAGATATGTTTCGACTCTGCTGGCAGAGAATCTGTGTTCTAAAATTTAGTATTTAAGTAAAATTAAAGCTAACATAAAGTGATTATTAGGAGCCAATCACTTTACAAAAGTAACTTTTTGAATGCTTATAGAGAGGTAGATTCTCTTATTCTCTTTTACAGATAAGGAAACCAAGGCTTAGTCATGTGTCCATGTTCACACAGCTATGAACAGAGTGGTAGAGATGGAGTTTAGTTAGGCTCAGGGGCCCAGTGCCCTCCGTCTGTGGGCTGCAGGCTCAGGAGGAGGCTCGGAGCTCTCCGCAGGTCTCAGAGGGTCCACATGGGGAAGCACTGAGACTGCCCAAGGCTGTGAAGAGAGAAACTTCGCTGTTGTGAAGGAAAGTGTGATACCCAGCATGGTAATGAAAGCTGCAAGCAGGCAGGCCAAGGCCAAGGAGAAGCCAGAGCAGCTGCAGAGGGGGACTGGGTAGAGCAAAGCTTCACAAGCTATGGCAGAAACCTTCCTGATGACAGAGATGAGTGCCATATGCCTTAAGGAAGGTAAAAAAAAAAAAAAGTGAGGGCCAGGGATTTAGCTCAGTGGTTCTCTGCTGCCTACTTTGCAAGCTCAAGGACCCAAGTTTGATCCCCGGTACCAAAAAAAAAAAAAAAAGTGGTTCAAGACCATGTAACTGTTTATTATTTATTATTTGCCATTTGGTTGAGCGAATAATATGTAGCACTCTCAGGCATCTATAGTACAGAAAGAGAAGTGCCGAGGAAGCAATTGGGTATCATCTGCAGCACTTGTACAATTATTCCAGGGAACAGCCCTAAGGCCAGAGGGACACTTGTGCTGTGGTTTCCATGTTCCGAAGATGTGATGCTGTGATATATGACAGATATCACCATTATGGCTGCTTGAAACCCACAGGGTATCAATCCAGCACAGCAAAAGCCTCAGAATCATCTTAGGGTAGAAATTGGTATTTCACGTGAACACATATCTGAGACAGACTTGGCTTCACCGTCCTAGATGCGGAGGTCACTTGCAATGATCAGGATCTGATTTCCAGTTCTCCTTTCAGGCTCTGCACCTGATGACCTGGATATTGCCATTCCCAGAACCAGCTAGAACTCTTTCATGTAGAACCATTCAAATACGACTTTGTAAACAAAAAGTAACTAAGACAGTTTTCTCCAGCCTGACGAAGTGATCTTTCAGCCTGAGATGTAGAAGTTCTGAACCTCGGGGGTTTAAGATTATCTCTGTTAGCCGGGCAAGGTGATGCACGCCTGTAATCCCAGCACTCAGGAGGCTGAGGCAGGAGGATTGCTGGGAGTTTGAGACCAGCTTGGGCTACATAGTGAGTTCCAGATCAGACTCAGCTACATAGTTCCAGATCATACTCAACTCAAAAAAAACAAAAAACAAACAAACAAACAAAAAAGATTATATCTGTTAATGCCAGCCTCTTGCGAAAAGAGAAATTCCTTTTCTTTTCTTTGCTTCAGTAATAGATGAACCACCATCCAAGCTGCTCTGACTGAACTCCAACTTGGGGCTTAAAAGGCCTCAAAGTATGTGTGCAGGTAGGAGGGGCAGGACACACTGGAAGTCTGGAAGAAATGGAGAATGTTAAAACTAAAATAACAGCAAAAACCCCATAAACCCAAGCCAAAATTCTTCAAATGAGAGCTATGAAGCTCAGAAATGAGAGTGTGTTAGAAGGGACCAGTACTAGGGCTAGAACCTAAGTTCCTAAACTTATTTCCCAGTTCTCTTGCCATTGTACCATTCAGAAAACATGGTTTTATATCTAGCATTGCAGCATGCATGGGTGCACATTCACACAATGCCCAGTAGAACCTGGCTCAGATAGGTCCTGGTGCTAATACCCTTTATAGTCAGGAAAGTGAGAGAATACCTTATGGGCAAGCAGAGCCAAGAGTTATGGTTCATCTTTTTTATTTTTAGAACCCAGGGCACATTTGCTGAAGAAAGTGTGATCGCCTGTGGGACAGGAGCAGGCAGAAGGGAGCAACACACTACCTGTATTTCTTCCTTCAGCTGGACAAGATAGACATACGGCCAAGATTGCCTTTCCTTTTCAGGGGTTATGTGGTCTTGGCTTGGGTCACATTTCCTCTCAATGGGTCATCCTCACGATCTCCTACTAAAGTTTACACCTAGTACAGTGGTGGCCTAGGGATGGGCTGCAGGCCAAGTAGTTCTGGCGGTTGCGTGGTTATTCTTAGACTTGCTGTCTGGCCTTGTGCAAGTCACTCCTCTTCCAATTTCTGCATCTATAAAATTCATGACTCACATCACAGATGCCAAGAAATTCAAAGACTATGTGTTCCTGTTATTAAAGGAAAAGAGTTAAAAATTTTTTTAAAAAAAAGCTGCTGCAGGCATACCTATCAGACTATTATTAGACCAAAGCAAAAGCCAAGCCAGAACAAGCTTTGATTTCATTTCAAAGCCAGAAACAGAGGACCTAGTATCAGAATTTTAAAGGTATATGCTATCTATAGTGAGTTTGGCCACCTTACAATTCAGATTCAGGTTGAAACCCAACTGCAGTAGAGACCCTGGTTCCCCAGCACCCAGTAGGACATGAGCCAGAAGCGCTGCCTTTCTGGATAAGCCATGGTCATGAGTGGGCTGCATGTGCAGCCAGAACTCAGTTGGGGTGTGTTGTAGGCCATTTGCTGTGGCTAATAACACACGCTGGGTAAGTTATAAAGAAAAGAGGGTTGTTTTTGTTCACGGTGCTGGTCCAGTGTTGAGGATGTTACCTTGTGGCGACCTTTTTGTGAGCACAGTCCCAAAGTGGCCTAGGGCATCTGATGGCCAGAAACATAGAGCCCATGCATAAGTGTATATGTGTATGTCCTGCTCTTTCTCCTTCATCTTCTAAAATCACCAATATTCAATCATGGGGCCCACTCTGATGATCTTAGCTAATCCTAGTCAGCCTCTAAACACCATCGTTAGATGGTTTCTACTCCCTTGAAATCTTATGATGGGGATCCAACTTAAACATGAGCTTTCACAGGTAGCAAACTATATTCAAACCACAAATGTGGACGTGGTCTCCACTGGAGGCCAGCTCCAAGCTGATCCCACAGACAGAAGGGCTAAGCTTTTGCACCTTTGTGTAACCCAGAGGTATAACTCCAGTGAGATGGAGGACTATCCCTGAAGAAAAGGGTACGGGAGAAGAGGAAGAGGAGAGGAGAGGAGGAGAGAGGAGAGGGGAGGCGAGGTGAGGCGAGGCTTACTCCCCAGCTTCATGCTGTTGTGAAGTGGAAGAACCTTTAAGAATTCACAGAGGGCTGACCACCGAGAGGCCCACTATGGCCTGTGGGAAGCCTCCTGTTTTCACAAATAAAGCTGTAATTTCTAATTTTTTAAGGACAGAATTCCTAGTTGTATACTTAATACCAGCAAGCGTATACGGTAATTCTAGAATATTCATATCATAATTGGTACCTCAATAAATGAATGTTTTATAACAAGTCATCATTATCTGGCTTTGGTTATAACTTCAGAAAATATAATTTCACCCAAAAATGATAGAAAAGAAAAAACAAAACAAAAATTATAGGAAAGGCTTTCTATAAGATGAATAGCCAATGAAGTAAGTCTTGGATCTACCTCCTAAAGATACATAGTAAAGCTATATAATAAAATTCTCTTGTATGAGTGTGCTGTAATGTGCTACTAAAACTCAGAAATGGTGAATGAATGTGCGGAGGGCCTCAGAGCTTGGTTTCACCTGCCTTATCTCAAGTATCTCTGCGCCTGTGAGAGCTCTGTCCTTATACATATAGTCTGGTTCTGTCCTCTCCAGTGCTCACATTCTAATGCAAAGCATTCTTTTAGGAATTCTGTGCCCTTCAGAATGCTACTAGCACTCTGTCATCCTCAGCAGCACTTACCTTGTTTTCAGCACTAGTACTTAAAAGGGAAAGCAAAGTGAACTTATGATAAAGCTGGTTGAAATCTAGATTTGATTAAAAAGTTCTCTCTCCCTTTAATGATTTGTCAGATCTCTCTCAGCAAAATTAACAAACAACCCTGTGGCTGCCTTTGTGTCCCCAAGAAAAAGACAGAGAGAAGTGCTTTTCAACTGTCCCCTAAAAGACAAGGAGCTGCTACATTACCACCACCCCCACAACCCCTGCCCTGTGGTTCCTGATCTTGGACACAGTACTTGCCTATTGCTCATATTGTTAAGGAAGAGTAATCAATACAGGAAAAGTTTCAACTATACTTAGCTCCATAAATGATGGCCATCACTAGCTGTTAGAGATTAGACCCAAGGCCAGGGGATGTCTGGGGGTGATGGGAGCAAGACTGATAAATGCAGGAGAACAGATAACAGAGGAGTTACCTCTCTCTTGTTTTCAGGTCTCTGTTCACTGCATTCCATACACCTGGGGTAGGGAGTGGAATTTATTCTATCATCTGATTTCAACTCTCACTTCTAGTTTATTTTCTGCAAAACCTAAAGCAGCAACCCTGATCCCCAGGCCTGTTTCTTCTGGTTCCTACAAGCACCTCAGGTCCAACCCCTCCCAACTCTAAGTTAACCTCACCAGGCCACCCTGCCTGTCAGATTTTACCCAATTGTCCTGCAACTAAAATGTCCTTCTCAAATCCAGTACTTCCCCAGATCATCCCTGCTTCAAACTGTCAGTGACCTCTTGTTGTTCAAAATGTCTCAACCATAACTTCAGTAATTTCTGAACGTTACTTCAGTACTTGCCTTGTTCAGGCTCCAACCTATCCCCCGACTTACTTTTCAGCCTTTTGTGCTTTGCATTTTATTTTCTAGCAACATTGACTTGCTGGCTGCCACCTTGCCCACAGAATACTGCATTTCAGTTCCATGTCTGGACCAAGGCTCTTCCCTTTGCTTGTAATATCTTTATCTGGCTAGCTCAGTTTGGATGATACCCCTCTAGAAGCCTGCTCCAATCTTCCTCTCCCTTAAATTGGGTTAGACTGGAGACTGGATAAAGAAAATGTGTGTGTGTTTTAAACAAAATGGTGTACTACTCAGCCATAAAAAATGAGAAATTAGAGACATTTATAGCTAAATGGATGCACATTGAGGTGATATTCTTAAGTGAAATACATAGGACAGACATGTAAATAATGAATACTTTCTCTGGTGTGAGAAACTGAAAGTGTAAATAAGGATCAAAAGGCATAAAATATATTGTGAAATAGGAAGAAAAGGTCCAAAGGTGAAGGGGAAGTAGGAGGGACTGGGAAAAGGAAAGAAGGGAATGGAATTACTATGAGAAAATGAAAAAATGGAAACAAAAGTCTTTGTAAATAGGGAGGAATGGAGGGGTTGAAGGGAGGGCAGGGGAATGGGGGAAAAAGAAAGAACCAAGATGATTATGTAAAGGTGTCAATTTGTAATGATGAATGTCATTATACTGTACACTTAAACTGGGATAGACATCCTTCCTCTGGTGGCTGTCTTCTTTTACAGAGCAACGTGCTGCACTTGCTATATAATATTATAATTATGTGCCTCCCTTGCTAGCCTGGGAGCTCCTGGAAGCAGGAAGTGCTGTGTGTTGTTCACCTTTGTATCCTGTGTGCTAAATATAGTGCCTGGCCTTCCAAGGCACTTGGTCAATGAATACAAAATGAATGACTACAGTGAGCCCCTGAGACAGTATGCCACCTGGAGAAGTTAGATTAGTATAAACTAGCAGGAGGCATTTCAAACATGGAAAGAACAGAGCAAGGCAGGATGTATTTCACTCCAGAACTGCTGAAAGTACTACAGCCTATGGGAGCTCTGGGATTAGGGGCAAGAGAGATCATAAATAACCTGGGGGTGAGTCCAATCAGGAAGAGAGCAGTCAAAAGGACAGGTTACAAAGAATTGACAGCTACCACATCGTGTCCTGGGCTTACAAGACTATACACTGCCAGAGGAGAAGTGATACGATTATCCACTAATTCATCACTTACTGAGCATCCACCAAGGAAGCAGGCACAGGGTGGGTGCTGGAGGATCTAGCCATGAACCAGAAACTCCTTTCTCTGCTCTCATTGAGCTTAGCAGGTGCTGGGGAGGCAGAAAGCACCAAAGCAAGCTTATTTCACATGGTGATAAGAGGGTGAAGGATGGAAACAGGATGCAGGGAGAGAAAATAGCAGGCCAGAGTGGGGTGGGGAAGCTCTCTAAGGATGTGGTTTTGAGCTGCAGTTGGCCAGGACAGGAAGGAGCCAGAGGAGGAGCTAGCAGGGCACAAGCCAGAGAGATGCCGGTTCCAGAAACTTAGGAGGCCAAGGCAGCCTCAAAAGTGGGGAAAAGGAGCAAGGTTGACAACATCCATGGGAGAGGCAGGGAAAGGCAGGGCACCCGGAGTTCAGATTCTAAGTGACAGCCACAAAGGGTTGGGAGACCCAAGGAACCATGAATGAGCAAGGAAAGTTCTGTGATCAGTGTCCAGGACCTGAAGGCTGTGGGTGGAGAAGGAAAAGGGAAGGTGGGAAGGAGGAGGAAGCAGACAGGTCAGGCTAGTAGGTAGCTGTTTAACTTTCCCCTTTAAGAAACATTACCATTTAACTCATGTACAGCAGAAGAAAGGGGGCTTCAGCACTGAGATGCAGACCCACATCTGCTTTCCCCAAGTGGGAACTTAAATCTCTGTGGTCTGTTCTCTAACTCCTGGGCTCAGCAGAATGAAACTTCCAGGTGGAAAAGATGAAAAAGAATGATAATATCCTCTTTTCATCTTTGGAGGATGGGGATTCTCGTTCATTGTAGATGGGATGCAAATTAGTCTCTCCAGAGGAAAGCCCAGTGCCTTAATGATGTGTGTCCTCCCAGAGTCCCAGTTCCAGTTTTAGGAATCTGAAAAAATAAACCATCTACTGAGCGAAGATGTTCGAGCAGGCCTTATCTGTTGGTATTTTTGAAAGTGAAACAGTGCATCAAAACACTGGACTTCAGTACTCTGCGGTTAATAATGATGATAATCTACTGGCATGGAAAGACTCCACAATATACTGCCCAGAGAGAAAATTGGGTTACCAAAGGACATAAAGTATGATTCCACTTCTGTAAAGTATGTGTTTACGTGTACAGAAAAAAAATCTTAGAAAGATCTATGTCAAAAATATGGAGAGTGGCTATCTCTGAAAGATATCTGGACCTTCTGGTTGCAGTTGCTTTTTTCCTTCCTTTAAATCTATGATATCTATTTTTTCTAAAGCAAAAATGTTGATTCTTTTCTTTAAATATAACATACAAACAGAAAAGAACACATGTCCTATGTTTAACTTGATTAGTGATCACCAAATGAACACACACAGATAAACAACCCACTAATCAAGAAACAGAACACTGCTCGGCTCCTGGATGCCCCCTGCATAGAATCAATCATACAGAAGCTACTGTATTGTCTGGCTTCTTTAATTAAAGATTATGTTCATATGATTTTTCCAAGTGCTTCTTTTAAATGTAGTAATCAATTGTTCAAAATCTTAGAATGCTTATGCCTTATCTTTTATAAATATCACACCATGCCATGTATGGAATCATTAGCATTTTGGTTGCTTTATAGAGCACTTTCATGTGTACTAACTCTACGGATTAGTATTATCTTCATTTAATAGGCAAAAGGCCTAAGACTTGCAGAATAATTTGCCCTGCACAAAGCTAGTGGGTGACAACGCCAGGATCAGCTTGTAGCTAAATCCATATCCTTCCTGGGGGATTAAGAGCAAAGGCAGCAGTGCATTAAATGAAAGGAATGATTTTTTTCACCACTAAACTCTTTAGATATCGAGACAAGTTACCAGAGAGGTCTGTTTAAACGCCTTTCCTAAAAGTCGTTCAGATCAGAACATAGAAATCCTCTGGTTGTGAAAGCAAATGCCGCATAAATGTTCATCCAGTTTCGATATTAATCACCTCCAGAGAGAATTTCTTCTGCTAATCACCAGTGATGCCCACATTCCTCATTTAACACTAGTAATTATAACCCTCAAGATTCCACGGTGTATGTTAAACATGTGACAAATGCGGATTTTGTATTTGCATATGTCTTCTATCCCCGCCCCCTTAACGAATGTGATAAACAGTGACGCTCCTGTTATAAAAACAGTGGAAAGCTTTTGTTTTGATCTAGTTTCCCCCCAAGAAAGTAGAGCTGTGTGATTTAGCTTTATGTACTATAAAATCAGGACCTTTTACTGTAAGATCCATTGTGACCTCTCTTTGCAGCACGGCAAATCTAGCTATCTGCATTACAAGACCAATTTCACCATCCAAGTCACTTCACAGAAATTTCAAACGATATTGCGTGAACAAGCAGACCAAACAAGAACACAGCCCCTTGAATGTTCCCTTAAGCACCAGCACAAGGGCCCTTGACTCATGGGTTAGGGTTGTGAAGGTGTCGAAGCAGAAGTGAGGGGTGGAGGCGGGGGTGTTCGGGCCAAACTTTTCTCCTTCCGCATACCTACTTCCTGTCCTGTGCGTCATCCCTTTCTCTGAACCCAGAGTGGTCTGCATTGGACATTTCCGACCTGTGACTCCAGCATTCATTGTGCTGTGACCACTTCTCTGGGGAGGCAGGGCTCGGCTTTCAACTTACCTTCTTGCAGGAATCCCCAGAGTGTATGTCTGGTTTGCCTTTTGCGAGAACAGTCTGCAGGTCAAAAGTCACCAGATAGGCCTGTTTATTGTTCCAGAAACTGTAGCCGGGACAGTTCCTGTGCTTACTTGGCCCAGGACCCAGCCTTCTTCCTGCTCTCCAGGGGTCTTTCCGTGCTGCCTCTCCAATGGTCTCTGGCAACCTCTAGCCTCACAGTGTATTTACAGATACACTTTAGGGCAAGAGACCTTTAAAGAAATGGGTGACTATGGCCTCAAAGCTGTCACCTTCTTGTGACCTTTAGACACTGAGAAATACCGAGACCTCAGAGCTCTGCAGGTCTCACATCCCAGGTAGGGCCCTGAAGGGTGGGGCTGCGGTCTATTCACATAGACTGCATGCTGAGTAAATACAGAGCTTTCCAGGTGTTCAGTGGAAACTTCAGCTCTTAGGATACATGATATGGCACGAATATTATCTCCTCTACCAAAAGTGGCCGCACACAAGGAGTCTGACCTACAGTAGAACAAAGATGGTGAATGGCTGAGGACTGTATTTGGCCTGGAGCTTAGAGAAACCTGGGGCCAGCTGTTCTCCAGTGGTGGGTGGTGCACAATTCAGGGAGGGTTGAAAGAAGGGAGCTGCGCAGAGCATTCAGAGCATCTAAGCAAAAGGCTGGATGGGTGAGTGAACACGCAACCCGAAAGCTCTGTCCGGCTCTTCCTGAGAGCATGTGCGGTGGAGGGGGCTGACGGAGCTTTCCTCACCAGGGCTGAGCTGAGAACCCCCTGCCCTTACTAGCTGGAGCTCAGGTAGGACAACAGATGGGGCTTTCATCTTTGGATGCTGAGCCATGAGCATTCACCCCACTGCCTCCTTTTTCAAATTTCATCCTCTTTAAGTGTATGATTTAGCGGTATCAAGTAAATTTACATCGATGTGCAGCCTTCATCACTTTCTGTCTCCCGGACTTTTTCATCTTCCTAAACAGAAATCCTATCCCCAGGACACAACAGTTCCCCATCTGCCTCCTCCCCAGCTCCTGCCTTCCACCGTTCCGTGTTCCATCTTTATGAACGTGACTGTCCTGGTATCTCCTCTAAGTGGACTCACACAGTATTTGTCCTTTGTCACTGGCTTATTTCACTTAGCATGTCTTCAACATCCATCCACATTGTCACATATGCCAGAGTTTCTTTCCTTTTCGAGGTTAAACAGTGTTCTCTCCTAAGGCTGTTTTGCAATTTGTTTATCTATTGATCCATCAGTGGCCACTGGGTTCCTTCCACTTTGGGCTATTGTGAATAATGCTGCTATAAACATAAGCACACAAGAATCTATTCGAGATTCCTACTTTCAATTCTTTGGGGCATATATCTGGAATTACTGGGAATATGCTGGGAATTACTGGGTCATATGCTAATTCTATATTTCACTTTTCTTTTTCCACCTATACTGTAATTTTGGAATCTGTATTCACTTTTTCAAGCAAGTGCTCTTCCACTGAACTATCCCTATCCCATATTTTTAAGGAGACACCAAGTAGATCCCCCCCTTTTTTTTGTTTTGTTTGGTTTTTTGAGACAGGGTCTTACTATGTAGTTCAGACTGACCTGGAACTCACTGTGCAGCTCAGGCTGGTCTCAAACTTGCAGTGATCCTCCTGCCTCAGCCTCCGGAGTGCTTGAATTACAGGCATGCACCACCACGCCCGGCTAGGTCCCTCCTTTTACAGAAAGGTTTTTTGGGAAATGGGGACCAGTAGGGAGGAAGGATGGCAATTCCAAAAGTAAAAAAATCCTTAGAAATACATCCATCAGAAACTCCAAGCTGGCAGAATAATGAGATCTGAAAGTTAATATAGCAGAGACATCCTCCTGACATGTACAACCTGTGGCTCCGTGTTGGTAATATTTGGCTTTCTTCCCAGGGCTGAAACATCCTGGGAAAGCCTCTCTGTGTCACTACTGTCATAGCTCTCTGACTGTTCTTTTCCACCTCCATTCTTTTGCCTCCTAAGAGCTTTCTGCCATTTAAATATCGTTCCTGGGCCCTTCCTGCTACTCACCAAAAGCACAATTTGTATTTTCTTCTGGGACAGTTAGAGATGTAAAAGACATTTTTGTTAAAGACATTACCCTTCACTTGGGCCTAAAGATGCATAAAAGGTAACTAAAAGCAGACCTCCATTTTGTATCCTTTGTTCCTGTAAATCCTGGGTCAAATCCCTTCTCAGCTCTGATATGGGTATATTGATCATTTAGTGAGTCTCTTGTCTAGCAGCTGGCAGGGCAGGTTTGATTATCCACGACTTTACAAGATCTCATCCACCTTCAAGACTGAGAACACCAAGATAACAGGTTTACAGGGACATTTGCAGTTATGCCTAGAAGGTTTCAGGTATTATCTTAAACCTGGATCCAGATCTCTTTCCAGAAACAGTATAGCCATGCATGACTGCATCATCATGAAAACAAGTCATTTCTTGAGAATAGAACTATCACTCAAGCCATGCTAAGCTAAGGGGGATAGAAAGTAATCAACTGGACTTGACAACCAGCTAATCCTTAAAAGCTGGCCTCCTGCCTTTTCAGGTGGCCAGTTTAATCCCCTCCATCAGAATGTGCGCTCTCCAGCTACTCAGCTGGAGTCCTTTTCTGATTTTCTATCTCACCTTTGTTAAGGGCCAATGTGACATTTGTCAGCTCCCCCAGCCAGAGTCCCTCATAATTTTCTCTTACTTTCTAATTAACACATTTTCCTGTTTAAAAAAAAAACGTTCCTCCTGTGACTTAGTTTGGAGAAGCCTTAACCTGAGCACTCCCTCCCTGAATAAGTGTATTTTCTGTGCAACATGTAGAGTGGTACCCATGCTGCATGACATGCCCCACAACCCCCAAGCAGCATGGCCAAGGGACAGAGTCCATGCTTTCTTTATTTAAAGCAGGGTTCACGTGGCTATTTGGGCAGGCAGGAGGCAGGCAGGACAAGCCCTTCTGACACAGCTAGACATGTAACGCTTAAGGATCAATGAAAAGTGTGCCACTTTGCATAGTTCTCAACAATAGCCATTACTTGCAATAGCAACAGAGGCCCCAAGCAAATAGAGGATTAGCCCCATGGGCAAACCAACCATCCATTGTTTCTTTTATTATGATTATTATTTTTTTGGACAGGTAGTGGAAGAATCGATGAAAAGCCACACAACCATACTCTTTTCCTACTGAGCTTGGCTTTTTTTTGGTGAGATTCTTTCCCAAACTATTGATGTTTCAGACTCACTTGAAGGTCAAACATTATTCTCTACTAAGTGCTATATTGTTAGAATCATTTCCGGAGTTTTCAAGATGCTTTTTGCATCATCCAGTACTTTTGCTCTACTTCCCAACTTTGCATCATAGTGAATAAAATCCCCTTAGCAGCAAAGGAGGACTGTGGGGGAGATGCCGTTTCTTGGCCCTTTCTCTAAAGTGCTGCCACATGTAATGACCTCCTCTAGGCAGTAGTTTTGCATCTGTAATGTTCAGATGACCTCTCAAGCCTTCCAAGCAAGTTGGACCTCCATGGAAGCCTTGTGAAGGATAACAATGGGAATCCGTGTCTACACTTCTCCCCTCTGTCTCCTCTGACATCCTTTTAATACATCATTCTCTCTTTTTGAGTAATAATAGCAGACAGTCCATTAATGGACTAGCATATTTAATGGATTGTTATGTTTTTCTATTGATATTTTCAAAGGAATATAGTAAGTTTTAGTGCATAAATGATTTACCATCCTTTGAATGTAATGCCAAGTAAAATTTGAGAAAAGTTATAATCTTTTTTTTTTTTTTTTTTTTTTTTTTTTTGGTATCGGAGATTGAGCTTGAGTCCTGACACTTGCAAGGCAGGCACCAGAACCACTGAGCTAAATCCTGGCTATAATTATTTCTTTTTTTTGTTTTTTGGTACCAGGGATCAAACTTTTCCCTCAAAAAAAATTGTTTTTGTACCAAGGATCGAACTCAGGTCCTTGTGCTTGTGAGGTAGACAGTGGAATCACTGAGCTAAATGCCCGGCCCTATAATCATTTCTTTATCAGATAAAAGATAAAAACATTTTGGGGGGGTAATATCCATCATATTTCTCTTCTTGCCTTGGTTACAGTAGTCAAGGCCATGTTCAGAATGGAACTTTAAGAAAAGCTTATCTCCGGCAACTGGCTATACTTGCCCAATTTACAGACCCCCCTCCTGTATTTTAATTTGTTAAAACTACACTATTTTTCAAATCTGTTTCTACTTTTTCAAGTTACCTCGTGTCACTCTATGCATCAGAAGAATATTTAAATGATAGGAACATGTAAAGGCACTCCATCTTCCAAATGAATGCTTTGTATCCTATTTTACTACCAAGGGCCTCCAAAGTCAAGAGAGGGCCACCAGGAAGGAAATGTTAATTTAGTAAATCAGGCTGTGTCAGATGCTCTGACAGTGGGAGGATCCCAAGAGGCAGGAGTGCCACAAGAGAAGCAAGAACACTTAAAAGTGTGAAATCATCATAGGCATTCAGAATACTTCATAGACCTCTCCATGTGCTATAATGTAAAACACTGCTAACAAACATCTTAGAGTAATGAGGCCTTTTTGTTTTCTTTTTCTCAGAGGAATACTTTTACAGTGAATTTGTTATCCACAACATTCAGCCAATTTTCATGTTTGAAAGATAAAGAACTTTCCCTCAGTCCCTTTGACTCTTATATCTCCGTGGAGTGTGTGTTCCCGAGTTAAACTACAGCTGAGGTGCAGCCCAGCCAAGCATGCCAAGTCTAAGCGCCTTGGGGAATTCACTTGTGTGGCCCAAACGGTGCCAGGCAGTGACTGCAACAAATATTTATTGAAGAAATATTTATCAAGTACCAAAAATTTACATGCCACATGATATTCTAGAATACATTTAAAAGTATATTTTGAGGAACAAATTATAAAGACTGCACCAAATGTTTAGAGTTGAGCTAGATATGGAAATTGAGACCCATAAGCAATGTGCTAATATCTATTATAAGCATTGATTTTAATTGCCATCATTTTAGG